GCATGGCTGCGAGGAAATTGTGCTCCCCGCAGCCGTTCATTGCCCGGAAGCCCTTCTGCGCGTCCGCATGGCGCCCGTTGGCGTCCATCCAAAGCATGAATCGCCGCGACAAGACCCCAGCATAGAGCTTGTAGATGGCCTGCTGTAGGCAGATCGGCCGCCAGTTGGAGGGGTCGAGCCGATCGCCCTTCTTGTACAGCAGGCGCACCACGCCAACCTTCCAGCTCTGCGGCACACGCTTGAACTTCCAGCAGCACGCGAATGCTGCATGCAGGGCAGGCAGAAGCTGGGCTACGAACATCTTGAAAATGTCGTACCCGATGCCGTCGAGCCCTGGGCTGGAAGAACCGCGTGCGCGCTGTACCTGGCACTCGATCTCCTCGGCGCTGGGGGCGTCTTGCAGCAGACCCATGTCGCGAGTAGCAGCCGGGAGGAGAGCGAGCGCCGAGCGGAACGGGGCACCGACCATCGCCATCGCGTCGAACGGTCGGGCTGGGGTGTTGACCTTCGTGAAGAAGTCGTGAAGCTTCTCGCCCGGTATGGGGCAAGTACCTTCATCGACTTCCTCGGTCACTGTCGTCGGGGCACCATCCTGTGTATCCAGTACGGCCGGCGTCTCATTCGGAGCACGCTCGGTCCGTGCCGCCGCCAAGATGCCGTCAACGCACACCTTCTCATCGGTGTCGAAGAGGTGGCGGAGGCGCTGCTGAGAGATCGACGAGTTGATCCTGCCAACCCGCCGTCTCGCCTTGGCCACAGCCTTCCGGTTGGCAGGCTCGCTGCGCTGCACAGCCCTCATTTCATCCAGCGCCTCGTCAAGCCGGTGCTCACGTTGGTGGCGGGTCACGCGGGGCGGTCGAGTGCGCCGTTGCGGCTTCCCACCACCGGAGCGAGCACGGCGACCTCTGCGGTGATGGCGAGTGGCTGGCGGGGTCTGCGATCGACCCGGCGGCTGGTTCGGGGCAGCGGCGGCCGGCAGGTGAGCTGCCGGCTGTCGAGGCGGGCGCGTAGAAGGAGCCGTGAACGAGCGCGAAGTCTGGGAGTAAGGCTGCAGCTGATCATACAGCGCATACGGGAGGGCTGTGATGTAGCCCTCCGCCTCCTCCCAGTCACCGGCATCCGTTATCTTGGCAGCTAGCTTCGCAGCTAGCCGCTCCACCACCCTGCCCGCAGCCTCTTGTTCGTCGTCGTCCATCTTGCGCAGCCGCAGGCGCGAGCGGCGTTGAGGAACCGCGTCCGGCCCCACACTCATTGCTGCATACACCTCGCCATCATCGATGTCCCCCATGTCATCATCATCGGCGGGGCTCGGGGGAACATCGGCGCCCACCGCGACATGCGGTGTGGCAGGCGGAGGTGCAGCCGCGGGTGCAGGGGCCGTCGTGGAGGTGGAGGTGCAACCATGTCCATCGGTATGCACCCCGCACTCCAACTTGGTCGCGCGGCGGTCAAGAGCGGCGTTGGCGAGGCGGTCGGCATGACCGTTTGCCTGCCTGTCGATGGGGTGGAGCGTGGCCCGCGCCACCCGCGCCAGCTCTGCCTTGACCGCGATCCTCAACTGCCGGAGCCGCTTGTTGCGCGTGGCGAAGATGCCACGCACCTGCTGGATGACTAGCATGCTGTCACCCTCGATCCGCAGGCGCGTGACACCGTGGTCGGCGGCAGCCCGTGCGCCGAGCAGCAGCGCGGTGTACTCGGCCGTGTTGTTTGTTTCGCTGCTGCTCGGCATGTAGTGGGAGCAAGTCCACACTACGGGGCCGCTGGGCTTGAACAGCGCAGCGCCGGCGCCTCCTGTGCCAGGGTTCGTGCGGCAGGCACCGTCGAAGCGCAGCAGCCACTCGCCCGTCTTGTCTGCATCGTCTTCCTCGCCATCGCTGTCATCGGCCTTGGTCTCCTCTACCTCCGTCAGCTCTGGAGGGAGGAGACGGTCGGCGATACGTGACGCCACCACGCGGCGAGGCAGTGGTGGCCCCCAACGTGGGGCAGTGGCCTCGGCGAGACGCGACGCAACGCGAGAAGCAACCAGCTCACGTGGGAGCGGGGCGCTCCATCTTGACACCGACGACCTGTCTGCAGTGGTGCTCGCTTGTGGGGGGGACACAGCGAGCACCGTCGGGTCTTGACGGGGCAGCACGAGCTCGGGCTTGGCCGCCGTAGCGGTCACGTTGACTGCACCAGCAGTGGGGCTGGGGTCCCCTGCTGCTGGCGCAGTCGCCGCTGGGGTGTCTTGGAGGCTGGCACACGCTTGCGCGTGGTTTGCTGCTGCCAGCCTCGACACGAACGGGATACCGCACGCACAGCCCGCCGAGAACCGGTCGAGGAAGGCGATGCGGCGATGTCTTGAGTCCCGGTGGCGCCGGAGCGACGCGAAGCTTGAAGCCGTGTATGCGCACAGCGTGCACGTGAAGTGCTGCGCGTTGTGCGCATACACGGACAGGACGGAGGCCGGAAGTGCGCTGGCCGCGGATGGCCTGAGCGCAGAGTTCTTGGTGCCGGCCTCGACGTCCTCGAGCAGCAGTTGCTCGGCTTGCTCGCGCCCATCGCTGTCGTCCTCGTCGTTCAAGCGGCGACGCTTGCCGTTGAGGCGGAGCACGAGAGGAGGAGACGGCGGAAGGAGGCTTGCTGCCTGCCACGTCGCGCCCTGGTCCACCTCCATGGGGACGGCTGCGGTCGTGGCAGGAGCCTCGGCAGCACCCGCGGGCAGCATGCTACCCGCCCTGCCGGGTGTGCGGTCGTCATGGCTGGGGGCAGGGCCCGGAAAAAACAAGCGGCTCGCCGCCGCGAGGCGGCGGAGCGGCAATCCCAGCTCGGTCGGGCTGCATGTGTGCCTGCCCGCCGAGCTGGCCGTCAAAAACCTGTAAAAATGGGACATATACGGATGCTGCAGTGGACACGGCCTCGTGAGGGGCGGCGTGCATGCCCATGGGTAGGGCCGTGGCCACTGCAGTGTATCCAGCTCGGGCAGGCAGCTCCGTAGCTACATGCCCGAGCTGGTCGTCATCACTTGGTCTGGCAGCGTCGTGGTCCATCGAGGAGTGTCGTCCGAGCCCTCCCCGTCGCTGCTGCTGTCGTCCTCTGGGTCGCTGGGGCCGTGGAAGGCACCCAGTGCGCGAGCCGTAGCGGCTGCAAGCGCTGACCCGTTGGGCAGCATGCCACCCGCCCTGCCGGGTTGAAAAACAAACGTGCTGGGTCTTGGGGGCAGGTCGGGGGCCGGGGAGGCAGTCGGAGGGGCGCAGGAAGCCGATGGACATGTCCTGGGACCCGGGCAGGACGTCTGTGTGCCCGGGGAGCCGTTGCTCTGAGTGTCTTGCACGTCCACCCGGTCGGGCAGCATGCGTGCCGCCCTGCCGGGTGGGGGAGCAACATTCGCGGGGTCTTGGGCAGCGGCGGGGGCTTGGTGAGCCGAGCGGGAGGGCGGGGGGAGCCGTCGCGCACGCGTCTGGACCCGGGAGCTGCCTGTGAGCACCCGGGGAGCCGTTGCTCCGCAGAAGTCCATGCTGGACCCGGTCGGGCAGCATGCGTGCCGCCCTGCCGGGTCCAACAGCATCAGTCGCAGTGTCTTGGGCCGCTCCCACGTCTGGGAGGGCGCTCCGCAACGTGTCGTCGTCCTTGGTGCACGTCTTGGTACCCGGGCGCCGCATGCTTGCGCCCGGGGAGCCGTCGCTCTGCAGTCCTTGTCCTTGTAGTGGCGATACCCGGTCGGGCAGCGTAACGCCCGCCCTGCCGGGTATGCCAACAATCGCACGCGAGTCCTGCGGAGGCCATGGCAGCGGCGGGAGCGTCCAGGCAGGCGGGGGAAGCCGAACGGCGCGCGGAGGAGGCGGCGGGCGGTGTGCTTGAGGCCCCGAACGGGCCGACGCACGCTGCGCCATCTTGAGCCGAGGCCGTCGTCGCGTGTTGTTGCTCGTTGTGAGAAGCCACGGCGACCCCTATACTTAAGCCAAGTATAGGCCCGAAGGTACCTTCACCGGTACCAACGGGGTGTCGCCGGGCCTCTCCCCGGTCTTCAACGGTACCCAATGTCGGGACCGGAGACCGGGCTGCCGCGCGCGCGCCAGAGACGTCGCTGCGCGCAGGCAGTTGCAGGGCCAGGGGCGAGGCGTGTTCCGAACACGTGCCCGAAGTGGCGGCGTCCAAGTCCGCGTCACCGCCGCGGGGCGGTGTCGCGCGTGGCGGCGTTCGCGGCCCATTTTCGCCGTCATTTCGGTCGAAAACGGGGGCGCCAAAAATCCCTTGATGCGCCTGTCCCATGTCGGCTCGTCCCATCCCGTATGGTCCCACTTCAAGTGGTATAGGGACGGCGGAACGTTCCGGGAACAGGCGCATCTGATTTGCAGCCGTCCTATCCCCGATGACGAGTTGCGTGTCATCGAGGATGGAGGACGGCGATTGGTCGAAATCCACCCCAGTCTCCGCGTCAGACGACGCGTCGTAGAACGACCCGTCGCTGGCGAGACTGGAGTGGTCGTCCGTCGAGCACTCGCTGTCGCTGGACGGCGAGCGCTCGGAGTGCCAGTCCGGCCACCAGAAGCGCATAGAAATGCGGAGGTGTAGAGCCGGGGCAGGACAAGAAAGACCAAACAACAAACGAACAATGTATTGATCGATGTTAAGGGTAGAAAAGACCAAGGTGCACGGTGTCGGCCTCACGGGGGATGGGTGAACGCCCCCGGAGACCTGCGCAGTCGCCCGCGCGTGTCCAAAAATGAATGTGAAAAAGTCCGCCAAAAGGCGAAAACCAGTCTTCACACTGATTAGAACAGAAGTGTAATATATATTACCATCCGGTGTACCCGTTAAATCTAAATATAGAAATTTCTACCCTATTTCTAAATGGCGCAAGAAAGGTGGGGTAGACTGCGAGTTGAAGCTCGACTGTCGAAATGCTACCGTGTCAACAGACAGGTGCAACATGACAGCAAGCACCAGAGTGGGTTTCCCAAGGGCGGTTCCCTACATGGGTGGGGCCCTTTCGGCCAACGAGGGCCAGAATAAACCGTCTAGCGGCGGTCGGTACGCGACGGAGTCCCCCCGGTCTCAGTCACCTGCCTTCCCCTTGGACCCAAGGCTTGAGGCGACACATGGTGCTGACGAGCACGATGCTTGGAACAATGCAGGTTCCAGATACGGCGGCTGGATTGGATGCACGAGACAGAGAGGCATCGGTCCAGTCGCTTGGCGTCCCGCTTCAACAGTCCCAGGTGCTCCGTAAGAACCTTGAAATTGCTTGGAGCAACCGATCCAAGAGAACCGTACACGAGCGCCGAGAGCTCCACGGTCCATCCCTGTCGCTCGAGGTGCTTCTTGATACCTTCATACTTCAGGACCTTTGCTGCATAGGCCTGGGTCAGCCCCGAGCTCGAAGGGTCGTCCCGCTCTTGAACGTCAAACGCAATCGCTAGATCGACAACAGCCACGGTTCGTAAATCGTGGTTGAAGACCTGTAGATCAGGTCGCAAGGCTGCACCGGGCATACCTGGCACCGTCTGATTTACCCGCAGCTCGGTCCGCCCTTGACGGTCGCCAGATGAAGCTCGTAGGGTGCGCTCAATTTCTTTAAGGGCATCATCATGGCGACCACGGATAGCGTCCATCGTACCCGGGCAATGGTTGAGTACGTGAGCAAGTGTCTCCTTCCACCGACAGCCCGGGTATCGGCACCGGTCATGCGCGCGAAGGCGTCTACGCGCGAGTGAATCGCCAGTGTCGATCATGTTCAGGCGAGCCGCTACCGCAAAGCGGTAGTCATTCTCCCACAAGCCTCGAGGTCGGGTCAAAAACCCACTTCCAATGCCACCGTGCACGCGAGCCGTCTTGCCTTGATCCTTGCGGCGACACCAGGCTTGCCAGTGCAGGTTCTTGATGTGTTGCTTCACGTGCCTCAGCACGCTTTTGTGGTCAAGATAAGCAGTGTGGTGAGGCACGCGAAGCTGTAGTGTCTGGGCAGGGTCCCCCGAGTCAAGGTCAGCCGGCGCGGTCTCAAACTTTAATCCGTAGACCTTGATGTTCTTGCGCACATCGACCCAGAGCGAGCCAATGTCGCCATTCCGACGCTTCGGTGGAGCGTGGGGCGATGATCCCAAGTCGTCATTCAGAAAGCGTTCACACAGTTCATCACCACGCTGCTTCCAGTAGGCGGGGTCCAACACATGACGCTTGTCCGCGATCTGGCGCAGCTGCTCGCGAGCAATACGACGGATGGCAGCGTCCGGAGAATGGAGCATCTGCCACCCATGAGCGATTTGTTGCGCTGCGTGCAGCTGTACCAGCGGTAAGAACCCCAAACCACCACGAGACACAGGCGCGTAGAAGAAGTCGTTGTTCGCGCTGGTCGGAAGCCGAAGCAGGTGCCGAAGACCCCGCCGAAGGTGGAGGTCAAAGCTCTCCAGGTACTGATCATCTGGTCGCAGGTACCGGAGAGCATATTCCACCCTCGGATACAGGTAAACTTTGACGGCCTTGACCACCTGCCACGGTGCAAGACCTGAGGCCAGCAACGCAGTTGTATCTTGCTTCAGTTGCTTGAGCTTGGGCGCTAACTCGATACGTCGACAGACATGGTCAAAACCATCACCGACCCCCAAGTAAGTGTAGGATTGCATGTGGGTCATCGCGGGGATCGGTGCGCCCGCTAGCGACAGCTGCAGGTCATCGGCCACAATGTTCCCGCCGTTGCGCCCTAACCCCAAGCTTCTGCACTTGGACGGATTAGCTTCCATCCCAGTCCACTTCAAGAACTCAGCAACAAGCTCATGCTGCCGGGTAACGGCAGCCTTCGACGCGCTAAATATCTTGAGGTCGTCCGCGTACGCCGTTACGCCTGGTCGGTCGTCACCAGAAAGCTGGACGCCAGAGTCAGGAAGACGGTGGAGTGCATAAAGGAGCGGGCTGATAGCCGCCGAAAACAGTTGTGGGCTCAGCGGGCACCCCTGGAAGACACCGACACGCTGCTCGATCGGGTCCGTAAACCCATCCACGGCGTTGCCAACCACAAAGTTCGCCTTGTCATAGAGACCTTGGCACATCTTGATGTACTCCATCGGGACACCTAAGCGAAACAAGGAGTCCCATAGCAACTTGAAAGGCACGCTGCCAAAAGCATTCTTGAAGTCGTACCAGACTTCGTAGAGCGTCCGCTTCTTTCGGCGGACGGTGTCGATCAGTGTAGCCGCGAGGAAATTGTGTTCCCCACAGCCATTGACTGCGCGAAATCCTTTCTGCCCAGGTGCGTGACGATCGTTCGCATCCATCCACCGCACCAGACGTCTGGATAGAACCCCTGCGTAAAGCTTGTAAATCGCTTGCTGGAGACAGATCGGTCTCCAGTTCGCCGGGTCGCCACGTTCACCCTTCTTGTAAAGGAGACGAACCAGGCCAAGCTTCCAGCTCTGAGGCACTTTTTTCGCGTCCCAGCACCGCTTGAAACAAGCCACCAGCACCGGTAGCAGCTGAGCAGTGAAGCGCTGGTAAACATCATAACCAACACCATCCATACCCGGGCTCGAGGTGCCACGAACGTGTTGGAGCTGGGCCTCAACGTCTTCCGTGCTTGGGGCAGCTGTAAGAAGTTCGCTAAAGATCCTGGTAGCAGGTAGACGGGCTAGCGCATCGCGAAAGACAGCCCCACCCGGCGCGTCAGCATCAAAATCGCCGGTCGGAGTGTTGACCATGGTGAAGTATTGCCACAATTGGTCACCTGGAACTGGGCAAACGCCATCATCAGGAACAGTAGTAGTAGCAGGCACCCTGCCACCAGCTGTACGTGCCGCACTTGCCGCACGCTTTGCCTGGGCCTTAGCAAGGATACCGTCCACACATACCTTCTCTTCGGTATCGAATGTGTGGCGCAGTACATGCTGGTCAATGGCTGATCGGATACGACCAACTCGTCGACGCGCCTTGTCAATCAAAGAGCGGTCATGAGGCGTTGAGCGCTCGATGGCGTGAAGTTCGTCCAGTGCTTCATCGATGCGATGCTCGCGGTGGTGCGCTGTCACACGTGGTGGTCGCGGCTGGCGGGCCTGCACTCGTTTCTGTCCATGAGACTGAATACCAGAGCGGCGCGGCTGACGGCGTTGTCGCTTGCCTCGACGACGCCCCCGACGCCTGCGCCGGAGCGTAGGCGCAGTCATAGACGCAGAGTTGGTAACATTGTCAGCATGAACATCCCGAGGAGCGGCCTGGGTCGCCTGGGCAACAGGGCGTCGGCAGACGCGAGTCGTCGAAGTGCGCGCTGGACCCTGCTGGGACTGGGCGAACGGTTGCAGTTTGTCGTACAGCAAGTGAGGGAGGGCAGTGATGTATCCCTCCGCTGTCACCCAGTCCTCAGCGTCCGTGATCTTTGCCGAGAGCGCGGCGCCCAGGCGTTCTACCACCACACACGCTTCGCCATAAGCCGCGTCATCGAGATGGCGAAGACGGAGCCGAGGCCGCCTAGCAGGCACTGCGTCCGGTCCAAGAGTCAATGGCGCGTAGACTTCACCATCGTCGATGTCCGCGGGCAGGTCGTCGTCAACAGCATCCGAGGAAGCCACGTCGACAGCAAGAACCGCGGATGACGAAGGCGCAGGCACCGGCGCGGTCGACATGACGGTCACACAGGGTGTGGGTGACGAGTGGTTCTTGCACTCCACCTTAGTACTCTGCATGGCCAGTGCACGGTTTGCAAGGCGGTCCGCAAACACGTTGCCTTGCCTGTCAATGTGGTGAAGCGAGTGACTATCGAGACGAGCCAACTCTAGGCGAACAGCGTTACGGAGTAGACGTATCCTCGTACTCTTGGTCCCGTAGATACCTTGGACCTGGCGAATGACAAGTTGACTATCTCCTTCCACACGGAGTTTCCTTGCGCCATGGTCCGCCGCGGCACGCGCACCGAGCAATAGAGCGGCATACTCGGCCGTGTTGTTTGTCTCGGCGGTGCCTGGTATGTAGTGGGACCCTGTCCAAACAACAGCTCCAGAAGGATCGTAAACCATCGCGCCAGCACCGCCTGGGCCGGACTTGCTGCGGCAGGCCCCATCAAATTGAAGGCGCCAGACGCCGGAGTCGCGCGGAGTCGGAGAGATGTCCGCAAGATCAGCCGGCATGGTGGTAGAAGCGCTAGGCGGTTCAACTTCCGTCATGGGCAGGTCTTCATCGGGCTCCGACTCGCCCTCCTTGGTCTCTTCCTCCATCAATAGCTCGCGCGGTAGAAGCCTGTCGGCAATCCGCGACGCCACCACGCGACGAGGTAACGGCGGTCCCCACCGAGGCGCAGGTGTCTGGTCCAGTCGGGCAGCGACGCGTGACGCGATCACCTGCCGAGGAAGAGGAGGTCCCCAACGTGGTAGTGGGATGGTGCTAAGGCGCTCAGCAACCCTTGATGCCACCACCACGCGAGGAAGAGGTGTCGCCCACCGCGTGGTCCTATCGGTTCCTGTTTCCTGCATGTCAACGTTGATGGAGCTCGGTGGCGGGGGGAAGCCACGAGCTCCGCCAAATCTTGAGCGGGGATGGCAGGCGTGACTGTGACCGCCGCGACGACGGCGGCTCGAGCTTCGACGGCAACTGGGCTTGGTGCTCGATCAACCGACGAAGCCGTTGCCTGGACGATACGGAGACCGGCGCACGCGTCCGCGTGGTGTGCAGCAGCCAGTCTCGACGCAAAGGGCACGCCACAAGCGCATCCAGCCGAAAATCGGTCCAGGAAGGCAGTGTGGCGATGCCGAGAGTCTCTGTGGCGGCGGAGGGAAGCAAAGCTGGCAGCCGTGTATGCACACAACGTGCAAGTAAAACTCTGCGCGTTGTGAGCATACACGGAGAGAACGGAGGCTGGGTGGGCGCTGGCCTTGGACGGCCTTGGCACCGGGATATGAACAGTGCCTCCATCCTCGTCCAGCAAGTGCTGTGCCAGCTCTCGGGTATCTTCGTCGTCGGCATCATTAAGACGGCGACGCTTACCTCCAACTCGAGCCATCAACGGCATACGGAGGTTGCCTGCCTGCCACGTCGCGCCCTGGTCCACCTCCATGGGGACGGCTGCGGTCGTGGCAGGAGCCTCGGCAGCACCCGCGGGCAGCATGCTACCCGCCCTGCCGGGTGTGCGGTCGTCATGGCGGGGGCAGGGCCCGGAAAAAACAAGCGGCTCGCCGCCGCGAGGCGGCGGAGCGGCAATCCCAGCTCGGTCGGGCTGCATGTGTGCCTGCCCGCCGAGCTGGCCGTCACAAACCTGTAAAAATGGGACATATACGGATGCTGCAGTGGACACGGCCTCGTGAGGGGCGGCGTGCATGCCCATGGGTAGGGCCGTGGCCACTGCAGTGTATCCAGCTCGGGCAGGCAGCTCCGTAGCTACATGCCCGAGCTGGTCGTCATCACTTGGTCTGGCAGCGTCGTGGTCCATCGAGGATGCGTCCGAGCCCTCCCCGTCGCTGCTGCTGTCGTCCTCTGGGTCGCTGGGGCCGTGGAAGGCACCCAGTGCGCGAGCCGTAGCGGCTGCAAGCGCTGACCCGTTGGGCAGCATGCCACCCGCCCTGCCGGGTTGAAAAACAAACGTGCTGGGTCTTGGGGGCAGGTCGGGGGCCGGGGAGGCAGTCGGAGGGGCGCAGGAAGCCGATGGACATGTCCTGGGACCCGGGCAGGACGTCTGTGTGCCCGGGGAGCCGTTGCTCTGAGTGTCTTGCACGTCCACCCGGTCGGGCAGCATGCGTGCCGCCCTGCCGGGTGGGGGAGCAACATTCGCGGGGTCTTGGGCAGCGGCGGGGGCTTGGTGGCCGAGCGGGAGGGCGGGGGGAGCCGTCGCACACGCGTCTGGACCCGGGAGCTGCCTGTGAGCACCCGGGGAGCCGTTGCTCCGCAGAAGTCCATGCTGGACCCGGTCGGGCAGCATGCGTGCCGCCCTGCCGGGTCCAACAGCATCAGTCGCAGTGTCTTGGGCCGCTCCCACGTCTGGGAGGGCGCTCCGCAACGTGTCGTCGTCCTTGGTGCACGTCTTGGTACCCGGGCGCCGCATGCTTGCGCCCGGGGAGCCGTCGCTCTGCAGTCCTTGTCCTTGTCCGGGCGATACCCGGTCGGGCAGCGTAACGCCCGCCCTGCCGGGTATGCCAACAATCGCACGCGAGTCCTGCGAGGCCATGGCAGCGGCGGGAGCGTCCAGGCAGGCGGGGGAAGCCGAACGGCGCGCGGAGGAGGCGGCGGGCGGTGTGCTTGAGGCCCCGAACGGGCCGACGCACGCTGCGCCATCTTGAGCCGTGGCCGTCGTCACGTGTTGTTGCGCGTTGTGGGAAGCCACGGCGACCCCTATACTTAAGCCAAGTATAGGCCCGAAGGTACCTTCACCGGTACCAACGGGGTGTCGCCGGGCCTCTCCCCGGTCTTCAACGGTACCCAATGTCGGGACCGGAGACCGGGCTGCCGCGCGCGCGCCAGAGACGTCGCTGCGCGCAGGCAGTTGCAGGGCCAGGGGCGAGGCGTGTTCCGAACACGTGCCCGAAGTGGCGGCGTCCAAGTCCGCGTCACCGCCGCGGGGCGGTGTCGCGCGTGGCGGCGTTCGCGGCCCATTTTCGCCGTCATTTCGGTCGAAAACGGGGGCGCCAAAAATCCCTTGATGCGCCTGTCCCATGTCGGCTCGTCCCATCCCGTATGGTCCCACTTCAAGTGGTATAGGGACGGCGGAACGTTCCGGGAACAGGCGCATCTGATTTGCAGCCGTCCTATCCCCGATGACGAGTTGCGTGTCATCGAGGATGGAGGACGGCGATTGGTCGAAATCCACCCCAGTCTCCGCGTCAGACGACGCGTCGTAGAACGACCCGTCGCTGGCGAGACTGGAGTGGTCGTCCGTCGAGCACTCGCTGTCGCTGGACGGCGAGCGCTCGGAGTGCCAGTCCGGCCACCAGAAGCGCATAGAAATGCGGAGGTGTAGAGCCGGGGCAGGACAAGAAAGACCAAACAACAAACGAACAATGTATTGATCGATGTTAAGGGTAGAAAAGACCAAGGTGCACGGTGTCGGCCTCACGGGGGAAGGGTGAACGCCCCCGGAGACCTGCGCAGTCGCCCGCGCGTGTCCAAAAATGAATGTGAAAAAGTCCGCCAAAAGGCGAAAACCAGTCTTCACACTGATTAGAACAGATACTACACTTGATCTTAGCCAAGAGGCCGAGAAGGTATGGTATATAAATAGAAAATGGCCTATCATTTATACTAGTTTTATACCCATACGGTCAATTTAGAATTTGCCTGAAATTTAGTAATGAATTATAAAACTTTACGTTAGCGTTTGACATCGACAAATGCGTAGTTACGCCGTTTATATATCACTTTTATTGTGTTTTGGTTAGTATACAGTCATATAGTACTAATGAAAAGCTTTATATGATGTTTCGGTGTATAGCAGGGTCTTACTAATCGCGGCTCTTAAACGGCCGAAATTTGGTGTGTGATTAAGTTTACTAATCGATTGCCTGCAACATGGCTATACTAAGCCACGTCATGTACAAATGATTGCTCGGTGTGATTCACGTCTGCACTTTGAAGGTTATGCAAGGAATGCTGATCTGTTATGTAGGCTGGGATGTTCGTGAAAACGTCGTTTTCTTAATCTTTTCGCTGATATTGGCCGACTGGATTCTATCGAATTACACACCTAATCTGCTTTTCATGCGATGCTACAACCCATTTAACTAATTCTATACATGTGAACATCACTGGACAGGACGTCATGAAAACATAAAGAGGCGGTAAGAATTGAATCGAATTGTATTTTTGACACCTATGACGGGGTGAGCCTGTTACATAATATTGTCATTGTGACAATGTGATTATCGATAATATGAAGCACGACGTTATCACCACAATGCCACTAAGTCCAGCGATATTGTAGCAGTGAACCAAGGATTTCTCATTGGTTGAGATAGTATTGTATCAGCCCACCGATCGTTGCTAGACGCGCGCAATGGGTGGTGAGTAATTGTCACCATACGTGCTTTAATTATAATATAGTTAAGACAGGACTAACAGATAATACACACTATTGACTTAAAAATACTAATACAGTTATTATTTTATTTTACTATGCCTAGTCGCTTAGTACAAAACCTTCCTCAAAAGTGTAACGTGTGCTTTATCGAACAGAACACTAGAACACACTGTAGACAGTGAGATCTTGCCACGCACTGTTATTAATGCACAGCTACCTGTGCAATTCATTTCAAACCTAGTATTAATCTATAAAACTGACTCCTTTAGAGAGTTAGTATGTTCATCCGAGATATTTTAAACCTTCCGTATATACAAACCCACGTAGGGTTCGTAACACGGTTCACAAAAGTTATTGGTAAGTGTTAATATTAAGGTGAAGCGATCAAGATATGATTTTGAAAGAACGTATTGACGTTTTAACTAATTCCTAAAGCAATCTGATTGTGAAGTATGCAGCGAGGTTCAAGAGCCATCATAGCGTTTGGACGGGGAGAGTTAAATCGTTGAAAAAGAAAATTTAATTAGGGTCTTTTTGAAAATTTACTAGACAGGGGGATTGTATCAGAGGCGGAGAATCGATATTTCAAAGGTGACACACGATATGGTAAATTATACATTGATTGTGCAATCTTTTATATACTATATGTTAATACCCTAGATGAAGAACACGTACAAAGTTTTGAGGAGAAAGTACCATGAATTGTCGGAACAGGGTGGTAATCCGGTCGACTTACACACGAGAAGATGTATTTTTGGATAGTGAGCACATTGTAGAACGTATACTGCATTGTACCACACAATGCACGTCAAGCAATCCATAAATTCTGTAGAAGCATCGCGTGTCCATCTGCTGGCGGAAGGGAATTCTTGGTCCCCGATGTCATCAATATTCTGCTTCGACCGTCGAAGTATAAACTTTTGGAAAATTTGGCCTGGAGATCACAATGTAAGTGGACCAAGTTTATCCGTATTGAACAAGTCAATCTCGAGGAAAATTAGTTTATTTTGTATCGATTATTCCGAGACTGAATGCGTTTGAGCGGGATGACCTTATTATCGTTCCTCATTCAATTTTGACCAGGGTCATGTTCAGCATCAATCCGAGTTTTAAAATGAGAGCAATTTGTACTACCAACGGGTCAGCAGGGTGAGTGAAGGAATATACATACGTGTTATAGGGTCCCTCTCCGTTAGTTGGTCTTCCAGGAGCCAGTGGAAAACCGGGATCACATAATCAATTTTGTGAGGCTTACTCCATCACAACTTACACGTAATATAAGACCTTACAATGACCGCAAAAAGGATTCGACATTCACAGAAACAGTAAATATTGACACGTCCCACTCCATCACATTTTTATTGGAAATTACTCACAATTATAGCATAAACTTTTTTGCTATGTTGAAGATCTAGTCTGCTAAATGACTAGTGTTTCAAACATTACTGCGATATTACATGACCTTATTGGATCGCATACCTCTCAAATATAGAATAGAATGAGTAGGATTCAATATGACCGATCGTTATCCTTTAAGAACTTAAATTATCAATTGCGGTGGTCTTGCTTACTGCCTGTCGAAGACGGTTTATACGTATGTATTTATGAGAGGATGCGTGCAATAGTTATTTATAATGTGCCTCTATAAATGTGTACACTTTACTTGTATGAAAAGAGCTAATCAAAGGTGTATATGGAAGTAGAAGGGAAGATCGGGCCGCAAGCACATGATGAATCCCGATTGACCTGTACAAAAAAATTTAAACGATCCAAGATGAATAGGAATCGACGAGACAGGCTTATCTGTAATATTTAATAGATCATCATAAGCTTATACCTGGGTCAATATAAATTACCTACAACCGTGGCAGGGTAGACGGCTGCCTCGGAACCTCATGTACGCAATATATTGTATCGAAAGAGAGTTTAAATAAGGATTAAATGCTTCAATACAAATAAATCGGTTATTATGTATAACAACTTCTACACGTTGCAGAAGCTATGTTAAAGCTCACAAATAAATTGCTGGAGCTTTATCATCACTACTTGTGCGCGTTTAGCCTTAAACGGTGATTTAATTAAGCTTGTGTCATGGCATGTGCAATTAAATACATAGAGTGTCACCAACTGCAAGGGATTATGACGTTTACGGTAGCATTCTTGATGATCAGTAACATATTTATTGATGTCTATATTCGCTATTGGGTCAACCCACCGTATAGTTAAGTCGATCGATCTGGCAATTTCAATCGAAGGTGGAAGTATATGTGCTCATTGTAGTTGGTCTCATTGATACAAATGATTAGATATAGTCCGTGAATCACACAACAATACATACATGCTAATTACTATCTTCTCACCAGTCTTGTGTTTATTAAATGGATTGGTGAAAAGGAAGGTACGTTTATGCTTTGAGTCAACCCGTGTGAAAACACCACCCTTCGTCCAACTAACGTTTAAATATAACATTACGAAATTGATTGAATATTACTAACAAAGATCAAATTTACGTCTACACTGCCCCATTTTCAATGCCGTGTGACAGCTGAATAGATATAGTATCAGAAAGAGAGATAACATATTACATTAAGTATTTCGACTTCTAGTCGTTAGTATATGTATAGTATAAATACATCCTCGGATGTACAAAGTGTGACCACACCGGCACACATGAGAGAAACAGGACGATTTCGTATGCATAAAAGTCTGGATAATTAACTTTTTCAATATATATTACTTATTTACTTTGCATAAGCTTATTGAGACCTTTACATTCACCCTTCTTTTGTACCAAATTCATACGTAAATCTTTTCGAGCATAAGGTGATAAGATCTAATTAACAGCCTCAATTCTTTGATCATATCAACTATCTACATTATGACTTATTCTAATGCATAATATCGACTCAGAAAAACGTCAATAATTTACGTATTTATTAAATAGGCTACATTAAATATTTAATCCTCTTAGGTGTTTCTTATTATATTAGCAACAAGATGCATCATAAGTTATGTTATTTACAAGTATCGACGGAACTATAATCTAAATATTCATCTTTGCCAAGCGAAATACCTGCGAATGTACTTCAAACAGCATGCGATATAAATAAATAGATTATTTTGGTGCCTTCAATTTTCACGTATACTGCCGCTAATATATGAAATTATTTAGTAGAAGGAACTTGCTCTTTAAAATATTATCATATGCAATGGTACAATGACGTTTTCATATATATAGCCTATCGAAAACATGTCCTTCTCCTTTACTTGTTTGTCACCTTTATACGAAAATAAAATGATGGCTTCCTTCTAGTCTCCTATTGCGCTCGTACGGAATGACATGAAATATTTTTGGAAGGTGTAATGGTATAAATCCGACGACGTGCAAATACATATAACATCACCCGGATAAGCGTTATTATGTTTATAAGTGAATGCGGCAGATAAGCACAACATTAAAATTACGCCAGAAGATTACAAAAATATAAAAAATAATCCAAATATGTAGGACATATAAACTACACCAGCGGCATATGCGATACTACCTGGTATGAACTGTCAAAAATCATTAATATGCATATACATAGTTATTGACTACATCATATAAGTATATCTCGATACACGCTTAAATTTTCAGTCAAGAATTGAACTAAAGA